AAACTTAATAAATATATAAATTCATACAATAATATTAAAAACAAATCTAAAACCAAATATATATGAAAAATAAGTTTTAAAAGCAAGTAAATAGATAAAAAGAAGTGTCATACAACTACAAGTATCAAAATTAACAAGTCTCTCTCTCACACGCACACACATATATGAAAAACAAGTTCAAAAATTCAAATCAATATGCAAATGATGCATAAATTAAAATTATTCATTGTTTATCCCTTAGATGAGGAGGATCTTCATTAAACCAAATCACGTTCATAAAAATCATTTTCACTATCATAACTATCATCATTTTCTTCACCAGTTGACTCTAAGTCAATTCCCCCACTTAAACTACCAATATGGAATGATCCTTCTTTACCACCTTGCACTTCTTAATCAATATCAAGTGTGTCATCTTAAAAGTTGAAAAGCAAAAACATATAATAAATAAAAAACAACAAAATAAATCATATAATAAATAAAAAAACAACAAAATAAATCATAGAATGAAAAAATGACATAATAAATTTAAAATCAAAACACTATGAAGAAAAGCTTTGATTAGTCACTAAACTTCTTTTTGAGTTGTATGACATATTGGCATTATTTTATCATTATAGATTATACTGTCCAATTCATCATAATCAAGAATTGGAGAATTATCTTCTTCCATGACCCATTCCTCAACATTGTCTATGCTTTCATAATCAATAAGATCAAAGCAAGTCTTCCTTTTGTTATCATTCCTATTATTCAAGATAAAAATAAAATTTCCATAAAAAATATAAGAATATATGAATAATAAGAAATGAAACTTTATGAATATAGTACAATTATTATATAGATTAGATAAAGTACTGATGTTTCAAATGCAAATTATAATGCACATAAACAGGATCATTCAACATTTGGTGCTCCAATCTATTCCTCTTCTTGGTGTGCATTCTTTCAAATACACTCCAATTTCTTTTACACCTTGAAGAAGATGATGTTTGACTTGAGTTGTATTGCCAATTTTTTAAGATTTGAAGCACTATATCCAAAATATTTTTACCACTCATCTATCAATAAGACAAAAAGAAAAAAAGTGTACAAGGGTTAAAAAGTTGAATATCATGAAGAATTAAATAAAAGTGTTATAATCTTTAAAAAAAAAAAAAAGTTGAAATCTTACCAGGTTTCATAGTTTTTGAGGATTCAAGACCACTTTCATGGCCAGAGCTTTCCTCTCTCTTTTTTTTTTTTTTTTTTTTTTTCATACAACTCACACTTATTCAAAAATTTAGACATTCGAGATAGCACTTTTGTATCCACAACATCCATAAAACCTTTCATGACTTCTTTTTGGGTTGAAAATTTCTCTTTATCATAGAAAAAAGCAAGATTTAAGTAATAGGCAATAGCATGAAGATTGTGACGAAGTTGCCTATCCTACCTTTCCTTAATAATTCTTATATAAAGCTTGCGCAAAGTCTCCTTATTTATCAATATAGTCTTAATGGCCTTTCTAGCTCTATATATGCCATCATAGATATATCCAAGTGAAGGCCTCTCACCACCATCCACAATTCTAAGCAAGCAAATAAGTGGTCCCAAGCTCACAATTATTCCAAATTTTTTTATCGAGAACAATAGCCACAACATTATATGCCTTATGATCTTTGTAGTAACTGAACTCTTTTAAATTCCAAACTAGTCACCAATGCTTGAAAATCATGCCTATGCTCATGAACGCTTTTCAATGCAATGAATGTTTTTTCAAAATGTGTTGGCCCAACATGTATAATTTCTATCCATCCTTCCCTTTTTCATAGCCAAGGCACTTCTAATTGATGGCAGAGCTCTATGAGTGATTCTTGGGGTAAAATAATTTTGTATCCCACTTGCCTTTCCTTTTTTGTCCCTATTTGTTGAAATTTCCAACCCTTTTCCTTTAAATTGAAATTGTGGAGCTAAAGAAGGATTTGGGATCTCTTGCAAGTCTGTTGCATCACCATCAAAATGTCCAAATGGATTATCTTCCCATAGATTTTGCGCTTGCTTCCTACTTTCTTCAATTTCTTTCAAACGCTATTGCATCCACCACCTTGTCACACTTTTTGACATCTCCTCCCTTTCTAGCAAGATGTTGTTTGATTCTATTAATGCCTCCTCCTCTAAATGTCTTTTGGTAATGCAAACATTTAATTGATTTTTTTTTTGTACCTTTTATAACTTCAATACAATACTCTCATGCTGCATTTGTTTTAGCTCTTGAAGGTTGAGAAGATGTAGTAGCTGAATTTTGTCCAGATGATAACATTTTTTTACAATTCTACAACAAAATAAAAGAAAATCGTTAAAGCAGCTCAGTTAAAAGAGAATTCAATTTTGAATCCCCTTTCAATTAAAAGAAATAATTCTAAATTTCATATTTCAAAAGTCAAGACCTCTGTTCTGCTATTGTTTAACAACTGATCAAAAGGTTTGAAGGGCTCCCCAAGTGTAAACTAAATTTCTAACTAATCAATATTGATAAAATCTAAAGCAAATGGAGCATCCGATAGGGATAAAACTTGCAAATCAAAATTTTTGAAAATTATTTGATAGTTTTAGTCTAGAATCCAAATATTCAAAATTTACTAAATATTTTCAATTTTGATGAATGAAACAACTTGATAAAAATACACAACATGAACCAAACTGCATCAGTAGCCTCAATTAGATAGTGAAACAAACCCTCTAAAATCTATAGATATTTCAAGTAATTCCTACGAGTACACTACAAACTTTGAAAAAATGAAAATTTACAGCATGGGTCAATGCTAAATAGAGAAATATGATATATTTAGGTGGGGTAAATCAACTTGAAAATTTTTTTATCTCATAATTATAACATGTAGAATACACTGTTTCACTGAAGTAATTAATCAAACACCTAGAAGATGTTTAAAGAGACAAAAAAAAAGCAATTTCTATTTAAGTGGAAAAAGAGATTTCAAGGGCATTGTGCCAATAGATAAGATAGGCAGTAATAAAATTTCGCAACAGAATGTTGAGAAATTGAAAGGCAGTGAGCTCATCGGGAAAAAGAAGAAACGAAGATGCAAGCAAATTGAGACAGGCATGATTAACTGTTGAGGAGGAAGGAAAAGTGTTGGTTTAGGGTACCTTCTGTTGGCGGAGGTGACGATGGCGGCGGCCCTTGCTGGGGAATGTTATCTACGGCTGCAAAAAATGGGTCGGTCTAGTATCTCAAATTACAGCTGGGTTGCAGAACTCTGCATCCGATCTTCCCATAGCAGTTAGAAGAGATCCTAGAGGTTGCCGTTGTCAGACAATCGCTGCAATTTTGCTGAGACAGATCGGGAGTGCACTGCATGAGTGCGTAAATTCTCAGAAAGAAATCCGGACCCATCACGTTATCTGCCGCATACTTGCGAAGAGAGGCCCCGGTTACCGCATGACTGCTCAAATCAGTCAACATGGAGATCAACGCTTGATTGAACCCATCAACATCCGATGTGCTGTTGATGCATCAAATATGCACTACTCTTAAACAAGTAAATCTAATTGATTATGCAGTATAAAATAAGTAAGATATCGTTCTCTCAAAAACTATTTTATACTACCAAAATAATATTAATCTAACCTAAATTGAATCAACTGATTAATAGAGTAAACCAAACTATTTAAAATAAAACTATTTAAACTAAAGAAATTTTCTAAGTATTCATTATTTAAACTATTTAAACAATTCAAAGTTTCATTATTTTTTATACTTACTAAGTTCCTGCAATTCTACTGCAATTACCTTATGTTTCATCTCTTACTAATAACCTGCCATACCAAAATCTATAATTTTAGAGTTCATATTTGACAAAATGTTCAAATTCACTCTCAAAATATAGTAATAGGATGGATGCACTTCAAACAAAAAAAAGAAATAATCCATCCTTAAAATTTTTGACTTAAACAAATAACCCATTATTTGACCAGCCATGTCAGTTGACATCATCTTCCTATTACTCACAAAATTATTTGAGTTTTAATATGATTTTGAAATTAATTCTGAAATTGGTCGAAGAAAAACCAAAGATTAATTCCAGTTTATTAACAATTTGTATTTAATTAAAATAATTTAAAATATTGGTTTTGTCTTGCAGGGACTTAATTATTACACAGTCTAAAGTGAGGGACCCAAGTGTCAGCCAGTTTGGTTTCGGTTTTTACTAAATAAATATTAATCAAATTTTTTTTATTAATAAATTATATTTTATCTCATATTTTATTATATTTTGTTATATTTATCTAAATTTCGGTTTTCAAAAGGCTTATTTTTGCTTTTTAATTTGTGAAAAGTTCATCCAAAATCAAATTGACATTTATTTAGTTAATATCAAAATCAAAACAATAAAACTCAACCAAATTCATTTTTTCCGTTCAATTTCTGGGTAAGCATCGGGTTACCCACCCGAATGCCCACCCCTTGTCCCGTCGTCTCCAAATTGGTCCCTTCCTCTTTCATCCCATGTGAAGGGATCTTCGTGGAAGCCTTGTCACCAAGCCATTCATCCCCTCAAGTCATGGATCTGAAGCAAGTTGAAGGAATCTAGGGCTTTAGGTGGGTGGCAACTCTAAGGCTAGGCGGACGGTAAATCCAGGGCTAGGAACTATCGGGATTGAACGAAGGCAGTCCGATCACTCCGATTTTGCCTGTAAAAACTCCAACTTTCAAAACCACTCTTTATAACACAAACGTTAAATCTCCAACTTGATCACTCAATTATTGTAAAAGCTCTCAATTTAATCCTTAAATTTAAAAAAATTTTATTTTGGTACCTTAAATAAAGATAACAAATTGTATAATAATACATCATATTTTATAATATCACATGAAGCATTTTCGCTACTCTACCCTACACTGAGGCTTAAAGTTTTTGCCCAAAAAATTGGCCTTAAGCTTAAGGTTTGAAGAGTCCGATTTGTATTTATCATAAACCACCAAACTCTAATATAAAATATAATTGAGTCTTTTTAATAAATTGGGATTCATGTTTTATTGTTTAGACTATATATTAAAAGTGCAATGCAACTTATGAAATTATTAACATGTCTTTTATGAAATAATATAAAAAATAATGTCATTAAGAGTATTTTAGTAATTTCATAAATCAAATTACATGTTAAGTGTATTCCTAGTCCAACCCGTGAAATAATTTCTTCTAATAAATTTAGTGATTTCTTAACCTGTGACTTAAGGTAAAGGTTAAGTTTTATTAATTGTGATATTTGTAAGTAATTATTTCAAAGAATGACTAATAATCTTGGAAAGTTATTATTATTGATAGAGTATTCAATGAAACTTGAGTGCTGGTTGTCAAGTGCCATTGCAAGGCTACCAGGCATTACAAATGTAAGAGACAGAATTAAGAGGAAATATTTAAAGAAAGTTTTATTACTTTTTTTCATATTCATTGTATATACAAAAGTTTTATATATAGATTTATATAATAAAATATTCTTAAGTATAACATTAACTAACTTAAATATATATAATAAATTACAATGTAAATATAATATTTTAATATAAATATTAATATTTTAAAATAAATACTAATATTTTAAAATAAATACTAATATTCTAACGTCTTCTGTAAACTCAATGCGGTGATAAAGAAGTCAACTTGAGTTTCAAAAGAAGAGTATGAAAGCATTTAAAGAAGTGAGTCCTGGTGAATAAATTTGTAAACTGATTAGCAGAACTAATGAAAAATAAATGAACAATTTCTTTTCCAATATAATGACAAACAAAGTAATAATCGATCTTGGTATGTTTTGTGTGTTTATAGAAGATATCATTGTGAGTAATCTGTGTAACATTTTAATTATCACAATATAAATTAATATAAATTAATAAAAGAAGTTCGAGGAATATGTATCTTTAAGAAGCCACCCTAACACCGAGGAAGTAGATAGCTACAATTTCTGACTTAGCATTTTATAGTTACCTTACGATGATGATGATGATGGCATTTTGTTTTGTGTAATTTTTTGTTTAAATTTTTTTTTTTTTATTTGAAATTTGTTTCGAGACCACACGCCATGTTGGCACACAACGTGGCAATTCCACTAAGGTGGCCAATTATAAAAGGAAAATAAACAAATTACAAACTACTAATATTAAACATGTTGGCACTGCAGTTTTAACTGTCTTGATTTAAATGCATTAAACTTTTGATATTTGTTAAAATTTCATCTGTTGTAATAGCAACCTAATTATCCTTATTTCCTCACATTTCCCCATGTTCAAAAAATATTAAACATGTTGGATGATGATATAAGAATAATTTTTTTATATTATTTTTTGATATAATTTTTACAAATTATTAAATAAATTAATACATTTAATATCATGAATTTTAAATAAATAAAAAAATCAATCATTATTTAAATGATACGTAAAATTATACTAAAAAATAAAAAAAATATATCTCAATTTTTTTTCTAAACAAGTTAAAAATTTAAACTTTTAGATTAAAAATCTCCACTTTAAAATTTGAGATCAACGAGAGAATGGTTTAAAAAATATAAAAAATTATTTTTTATTATATAATTAATCCTTCTACGAACTACTACCGATATTATTACTGTAAACTTAAGACACAGAGGATAATATCCTCCTTTAAACCCAACCTTAAAACCACTCCGTTTCTCTCAAAATTCTTCGTCGTTTAAGTGTCTCTGTTTATGGCTTATAGCGCGGCGGCTTAATTAGAACCTTCTTATCATCGGATTTCTCTGAAAATTCCCAAGAGGGTAGTTTTTTTTTTTATTTATCCTTTTTCTTGTTTTAATCTATCTTCATTTTAATGCTATTTTGATTCTTAAATAGTTACTGGAATTTTGATTTTTCCATTCTTTTCTTGCCCTTTCTTATCATCCAAACAGAAAAATTACATTATATATA